TCAAAGTGAAGTCTCTCACCTCTTCACTGTAACGAAGTGATTTTTTTATTTTTTATTGACTCGACCGTAGCTGTGTTTTCCATCTCCGACCGTCTCCGTCTGGATTCTTTCCCCCTTCGTTTGTTTTGACATCGTAGGAAAAAAAAGCGCAGAGCGATTCAAGAAAAAAAAAAGTCCAGTGGAAGAACACGGATCGGAGTTTTGCTGTAGAAAATCATCATTGCTAAATTAGCAATGAAAAATAGCTCGATTCTAAAAGAATAGCATTCAGTACACGGTAGTACACGGTAGTACACAGTAGTACACAATATCCCGCTCTTTCTCAAAGTTCACAAACTGCTGACTTTACATTGTTTGGCCGTTAGCGGTGAAGCTAGCTGTGTCCTTGTCGTCGACCGCAAAAATCTGAAGGGCGTCCTGGACTCTCTCTACAGTCGTGACGTCAAGAAAACATTTTTAAAAAAATGTTTTGTACCGGTCAAAGGTCCTCAACCTGAGGGTCGTGGGCCCGTACCAGGCCGCGTGTCATTTGTTACCGGGCCACTGGGGAAAAAATAGTTTACATTTCGTTAAATTTCAGTGAGAAAAAATTTAATTTTGAAAAAAAAAAAAGTTGTCGACTTCAAAATAAAAGTCTTTCTGGAAACAGCTTCGCTTTTCAAAATAAAACAATGTATTCAACTTTTTTTTTTTTTTCTTCTTGGCGTCCTCAGGGCTGTTGGCCAGAGTTAGGAGGGCAGTGGAGGAAGGCAAGAAGAAGAAAGGCAAGAAGAAGAAGAAGGACAAGACGACGGCCACCGCACTCCCGACTACCACGGGTGAGGACGGAGCTCTGGGGGGTGAGTGGGAGTGTGGGGGTTAATAAACGTCACTCATCCTGACTCTCATCTGCAGCAGTCCCGACGGAACCACCGACGGAACCCCCCACGGAACCACCCACGGACTACCCTTACTACGACCCTGGTGAGAAGAACTTTTCGTTTTAAAGATTTGTGAGAAAAAAAAAAGTATTAACGACTACGTCACCCCTTGGGGGTCAGCCCCCTACTTTGGGAATCCTTTAGCCTAATGAGAAAGACAGGCTGAGAAAACAACGTTAGCTTTGATTTAGCCTTGCTAAAGACGGGCTCTCGCACTGAAACGCCAAAGGTACTAGCATGGCGCTAACATCTTAACAAATACGCTAGGTACAAACACACGGCTAAAGGGCCATCTCTGCGTGCTAGCACGCCACTAAAACACAGTGGATGCTAACTGGTGGGTATGAAGCTAAATGCTAACTCTAAATCGTTTTGCGTTTCTTTGTCAGACCTTTGGAAACCGGACGAGGACTACTGGGACGCCGGGCCCACTACACCCAGACCTCAGCCCACTAACCCCACCGCGGACTCGGACGACTACTGGCCGGAGGAGGTCGACCCGGCTGTCACAGACGCCTACAAGGATTACTGGAAAGCGAGGGAGAGGGAGCCGCCGTCCACACTGCCGCCCGACGCCTATTGGAAAATGGAAACTTCCACGCCAGCGCCTGTTATTTACGACGACTACTGGAAACCGGACGAGATGGAACCCAACGCCTTCGTGACAGACAACTACGACAACTACTGGAGAGGGGTGGAAACGACTCCCTCCGCCCCCCAGGTCGACGGAAAGGGCGGGACCGACGACACGGAACACTGGAACGCAAAATGTACGTCCGAGTCTTTGTTTCTCTCTGCTCAGTTACGTTGGCGCTAATGAGATCGTCGGTTATCGCTCTACGCAGATGATTCCACCCTAATTATACATAAAATCTGCAGCGTGAATGACACGAACTCTCACACGCTCCGTATTTCCGACTTTCATTCATTCCGAAAAAAAAAAAAGGGAGACTCCGGGTTAGCCTGCCAGAAACTGTCGAACATTTTTTCCCGCCAAATATTTTTCACCGCAGAACACGTCCAACACCATCACTCAACGGAGATGCTAATGCGGATCAGATCCGTTTCCGAGAGGGTTTTCCCTCCGTATTACAGACTGGGGGAGTCCAACACTCTAGGAAAAAAAAAAAAAATCCCAGAATTCAACTTTCAACCCAACAACATTTCCGAACATGCATTTCCGCAAAAAAATTCGCCAACTTTTATTTTGTGGACTTGAAAATTCCATTACGACACGTTAGGAGTAAATACGTTCTTCCTGGTCTCTATGGGACGCAGACTTTCTTTAGTCGAATTTTCCGGAAAAAATTTGCGACGTTTAATTGACGTTTTTCTTGTGTTGGACTGGACGGTGGAAACTCTCCGTCTGGTGTCGGTGGTGTCGGGGGTTTGACTCCGGACTGGACTGGATTGTTCTCCTTACTCTGTGTTTCCAGCTCCGTGCACGTCGTGTTTCCACTGATTCATTCGCACTGGCACGTCGCAACTTTTCACTTACGTTCTCCTGGTTCTCGGTTCGTGTGTGTGTGTGTGGGTGCGTGTGTGTGTGTGAGTGTGTGTGTGTGTGTGTGTGTGAGTAAGTGTGTGTGTGTGTGCGCGCGTGTGCGTCTGTGCGTCGTTGCCTTTGACATTTTTCCATCTGACGTTCCCTCTCCTTCCAGACGATCTCCCGTTCCCTGACGGTAAAGAGGTCAGCCCCGAGATCGTCGTAGAAACTCTACCAGGTAACTCTTCCCCGCATGTCAACCTTCATCATCATCATCATCGTCGTCGTCATCACACCCTGTAATGATAACAAGGCCCTTCGTTCTGATTGGGTGTCGGCGGCAGCAGCAGCAGCTCCTCAGCACCTGGAACCAATCGAGCGTGAAGTAACCCACTTTTTTTTCCAAACAGGACCCTGTGGCTTTCTTCGGTTCCGCTTATTCGACAGAATTTTCCGACGTTTTGCCGAGGAGTGAAAAAAAAAATGCCTGTCATCAGTTCACATTAGCTGTAAATGAAAGGCCCTAGCGTCTTAATGACATCTTCGAACAGAGGGCCGTAAAAAATGCGGTTGTTGAAATGAAATATTTACACATTTAACATGAAACAACAACAACAACAAAAAAAACCCGACTTGTGAAGAGGTTTTGCCGTTGGTTTTTTAATTTGTTTTTTTTGTTTGTTTTTTTATCGCAGAGGAGCTGACGACTGCTTCGCCGTATGAGGGGACGTGGTACGATGCCTACGATGAATATGGTACATGGTACATATACCTACATTTACAGAGTACACACGCATATACACGCAGATACGTACATGCAACACTAGGGGTGCGTATCGGCAAGATACGTATCGCGATACAGAGACAACGATACGATATATTGCGATATATTGATTTTTTTTCCCCAGATCTTTTCTTTAGATCGGGGGTGTCGTAACTTCTCAGCAGCTCCCCCATTCTGAAGATAAGAATCTTGTTTTTTTTTTTGTTTTTTTTAAATGTTCTAATTCCTTCAGAACTTTTATCTTCATTTAACCCACCCCTGCAAAAGCACGGCCCCCTCTTGTGGAAAATCGGATTAATCGCAATTAATTGCCCAAATATTATAATAATAATACATTTTATTTATAAGCGCCTTTCAGGTCACTCAAGGACACTGTACATAAAAATAAAATAAAAACAGATAATTATAAAACAGGGCATAAAAACACGTTTAAAATCAATGATGAACAGAAGCAAGGAGGAGGGAGGTTAGAGGGAGTATGCAGTCCGGAACAGGTGTGTTTTGAGTTGAGATTTGAAGGTGGGGAGAGAGTCACAGTTACGGAGATCGGGTGGTAAGGCGTTCCAGAGATGGGGCGCAGAGCGACTGAATGCTCTGGCTCCCATAGTACTGAGGCGGGCAGGTGGGACGGAGAGGTGGATGGAGGAGGAGGATCTGAGGGACCGAGTGGGGGTTAAGACGTGGAGGAGGTCAGATAGGTGGGGGGGGCA